TTCCTCACTCGCTTAGCTGGTTTGGCATGTGCAGGAAAGTGGGTCTTCTTCAGAAGGTGCTGGACAAACAGTTATTTTTCAATGGACATTTCCACACTTAACAAAAAAAACCCACTTCCGTTCAAATTTTTGCCTCAGAAGTCATTTAGCTCGATCTTGCCTTATTTTGCTTGCTAGAAATAATGACAAAATAAGTTATTAATGAAAGAGACATGGAGGCAGAATTTCCCATGACAGTAAATCACTGTTACACAGCTCTCATTGTCCAGCAGCACGCACTCAAAATGTGACTAGTCCCAACTGCTTGGGGCTGTTGATTTTGTGTATGAGAATTTCCTGTAATAGCTTGGGTGCCTGCATACAGCCAGTCCCTGGCATGGCACGTGTGCCAGCAAGCCTCTTTCCAATTTACCAAGGGAAAACCTGGGATCCATGGCAGACTGGTAAGCTGCACTTTTACCCCAGTCTTTGGGCAAGGAAGCTATGCAGTAATTCACTTTATTTCTTTATTTTTTCCGGCCATTGTTATGATACCATTTTCTGAGTTAGGGAGATTTTGTTGTTGTGGTGGTGGTTTGCATCTCAGATGTTTTATCTGGGTGCAACCAGAGAAAAAAAAAAATCTAATTGGGACTGCAAGTGTGCAGTACAGAGGCCAAAAATATGTGCTCTTTTGTGAGCCCTGCTGCAAAGGGTGACTGCTGTGGATCAGAGCCTGGGGCACTGCACGGGCCTGAAATAAAGAGCATTTTATTGTTCTTCAGCCTGCTCTGTATTGCTGTGCCACCATCTCCACTGTTGCTGGAATTCCAGCTCAGGCATGTGTGTTCACCTCTGCTGGAACAGAGGATGTTCCTCATGGAAACTGCTGGTGGATCTGATAATCAAGGCCGGCAATGGCTTTGGATAGTGTTGAGGAAGGAGTGTGGAGCTAGACAGTGATTTATTGTTCTCAGGCCAGCAAGCAACAACAGTTGTTGAGTGCTTAGGCTGCTGACACATCCCTGTAACCTGCAAAATTCCTGTCTGAGCTGGCTTTTGTTCTTCTCACCTTTGCATGCAGGCACTCTGGCCAGGCTGGCTGTGCTTGACTGGAGCTGGGAGGGAGAACAGCACAAGTCATTCCCTGCTCTGGGCAGAGAGTCTTAGTGATAACTGATTTTATTGCTGTCTTTCATCTTCATCTACATCAATCTTACAACTTCAAGATGATAAAAGCATGTTTGCCATGAAATTTTGCTTAGTGTCACGAAAAGAATATTTTTTGTTTGTTCTTTGTGTGAATATTGAATTGATTGTTTGGTTTCTTTCCTTGCCTCAGTCCCACGCTACTCATATTTCTAGTGAGGCAAAAACCCGAATCGTTGTTTTTCCTTTCACAGCTTTATAGCTGGGATGTTGTTCTGCTTAGCAAACACAGTTTAAATTACACAGGCATCTTTTCCCAGTTTCCTCTCTCTAAATCTGAATCTCATCTAAATCCATCAAAACACTGCACAATTGCCAATCCAGCAGTGTTTTTTGTAATAATTCTCAATTTCCATATTGCACTAAGGAAGAGTGTAACAAACGTCCTGCCTCCCTTGCAGGGTCCACAGATACCATTTATGAGATGTTAGGGTCATTAAGGGCATAATTTCCTCCCCAGGCAGGCTTAAAGTGGCTGGTTTTGTGAAATCCTGAGTATCAAAAAATTGCTTTCTTTTGCATCTGAATTCTGTAGGATTTTTTTGCTAGGTTGCAGTACTTTAGATTCTGCAGGTTATTGTGGACTGGGTTTTTCAGACTTAGTTTGCTACCTGTTTATTTGGCTATCTAGAAAGCCTGCACAACACTGAAAATATTTTCAAATAGGAAATGTAACTAAATACCCAACAAATGTCTATGAAACCTCTTCCGACCCATCACAATGTCAACTGGTTTACATTCATATGGTAATACAGGATAGAGCTACCCAAGAGAGAAGAATTATTTTTAAATAACATGTGAATACTTATTTAGTCATGCACTGGCAGCCTTGGTACAAAAGCAATTCACACTCAAAAATCTTTTTTGACATTAGATGCAGGGATTAATCCCAACAGCTACACTTAGATGCTTCCCATATCATGTGGCATTTAAGTAGCTGTCAGATACAGAGCATCTTTTATAAGGACTTAGTTTGGTTTTTGGAATGGATTTTTATTGCCTTATCTATTTTGTACCATCTTCCTTATATTGCTCTATTCCTAACAGCGTGTCTCTTTCTCCAGTTATTATATTATTCACACTAAAATATGGATTTTGAAGCATCTGACTGTTCCTGGATGTTTCCTGCTCTCCTGCCATCTCTTCTGTCTCTTTATCTATTTGATTGTTTGGCAATCTTTTCCCCATGATCTCTGTAAGCCAAGTTTGGGAATTTAGCTCTCATATCCTGCTGCTCAGCCTGCTTTGTGTAATTGGAGGATGGGTCCCACAGCTTCCAAGGAGCCAGAAGTATCATGTTGGAATGCAGGCACATCTCCTCCTTTGTGGCCCCAAACACTGCAGTAAGTAATCAGAAATTGCTCTTAATTAAATGTTCAGCATCAGTGATAGCACTATCTGTTATCAGACTGGCTAACAGAGCTTAAACCACAGGTGGTTAAGCCATTCTAAAATTATCTTTACACTAGATATAACTTTCAAAGATCCTAACTGGGCCAAAGTTCTCAGGAGAAGGCAGGACTTGTGCAAGGCTTCAAGATTCAAGAACCTTTGATCTACATGAGCCTAGCCTCCCATTTCATCCAGTTCATACTCCCTTGCTGTCCTTCACCACACAGGAGGAAAGGGAGTTTCCAGATATTGGACAGAGTTTGGTGTGCTAATAAAGAAATCTCATTTTATGACAGAAGTGTTATTCCAAATGTGCTGTGTTTCATCTTTTCCCAGAGTTAAGCTTGAAAACACAGTGTCTGTACAGAGGAGATGGAAGTGCAGAACTGGGCTACTGCTTCTGTTCTTCAGGGCAGTGCTAACTCAGGCAGCAGTGTGGGTGTCACACACAATCCAGTTTCATGGGTAGGACACATGGCTCATAAGGCCCAGCAATGCGCAGCTCTACCTCTCTCGGGGTGGTGATATGGGCTGTGTCCCTCAGAGCAGTCCAGGGCCACTGAAATCCCCTGCTCTTGGCTCTAGGACAGAGCTGTGGCAGCTGTTAGCCAGAGGAAGCACAGCACAGCAGTGCTGACCACGAGACCTGTGCAGATTTACACACACAGGACACAGAATTGCATGGACTTGTCAGACACTAAAGACTGGGGAGGCTCTTGGCACTGGAGATGGGGAACAGACATTGAAACAGGTCTGCCAAAAATGGTTCAAACTATGCACATCAGAGGATGTGAAAGGGGAACTTGCCACAGGGCAGGCAGTGACCACATCCTCCAAATGTGCCCAGTGCAATTCTGCTGAGCCTGCTTTCCCAGAAATGCCCCAGCAAGTCACTGTCTTCTGACTTGTCCTCTCAGTCATAACTCTGAGACAGTGACCCTGAATATAGTAACTGGGATGCAGGTTTGGATGAACAAAACCATCAGGATGGCAATTTGAATATATCTGTGATGGCAATCATAGCAAGAGCAAAGGTTAAAAAAAATATGCAGTGAAGATTTCATGACCTTCCCAGTCTTTGTCCATCAAACATTTGCTCAGTAATTCTCCAATATACACACAACCTGGCCAAAAAACAAACTAAATACATTTTTCAATGGGCAGCCATCAAGACTTTGCTCAGGTATTAAAAACTGGAGATGTTTTAACTGAGAAATCCACTTTTTTTACTGCTATTTGGCTGTTAGAATGAACCAGAATGTTGCTTTTTAGCTTTTAGTTGTTTCATTATTTATTTTTTCATAATTATTCTTACTCAACTTTTACATTTTAATGTGGACCTTTTATTGTTTTTTTTTAATTTTAAAATTTACTAAAAAAGTTTCTATCTCTAAAGCAATAATTAAGAAAAATAGCCAAGTAGAGAACTGATGTAGAAGCAAATAGTTCTGAAATACCAGTGATTGTAGCATACAATAGACAGAAGTCCATCTGTCACTTTAATTGATAGATGCTAGGCTCTATTTCAAAAATTCAGGGAAATGAATAGCATTCAAGTTACTCTGACCTTGCAAAATAAATAGCAATGCCCTGAAGACACACTAAAAACATATCAGGAAGTAGAACTGTTTTCTCTGTTTTAAACAACATTTCATTCAATGGAAAAATAGCCAAGGAATACATTTTTCCAGATGATTTAAGATGCAGAATGCTGATACTTGTCTCTCAATAGCAACAATTAAAATAGCTTGGTTTTGTAACCACAGTGTAGACATTATTTCCACTATTAGCCCATACATACTTCTGTAAGAGCAGGAGTGGCTAAAAAACTGCAGCTCTTTTTCTACACAAAAGCATTTGGTTTTTCAGAATATGTATGGGGATTTCCCCCCCTTTTTTCCCCAAATCCTCCCACCAGGATAGTAATTAAAAAAACTCACACAAGAAAATTCAGCTCAGAATTCAATACGTAAGACTCCAAACTCGATTGTGCTTTTACTTCAGTCTTCTCAGGATGTTTTAAGGAAACAGGGTTTGACAGGCTACAACATCTTGTATTGTCAGGCAAAGCTTCCCTAAAATCAGAAATGTGCTCAGGTCTAATTTTTTAGTTTGCAATTTTTATCTGTAGCACTTTTAAAAACCAATAACAAATAATTTAAACAATGCTGTATAAACACAAATGGAGGCTCTCCTCACTTAAGAAGTGCTTTGCAGGCTCTAGATTTGTATTTGTATTTTATTCTCCCAGTTTAATTCTATCAGCCAAATAAATAAATAAGTATGAATTTGAATAAATATGAATCTCTCTGTGATGCAGAGAAAAGCAATTGTAGTGCTTTAGTGCAGGAGGCTGGGTTCATGCTCCAAGAATGAAAGCTGCTTCTGCTCAGATGAATAAACAGATGAAAGGACTTCCAGCCCATGCTCCATCAGGAACAGTAGAAAGACATGCTCACAAAATTCAGAAATGCAGAAATAAGAAAAAAAATTCTTTTCAGCCTTTCAGTTTTTTAATAGGAAGAGTAAGAAATTTTTTTAGAATTATGTCAGAAACCTCCAGGGAATGGTGCAGAAGTTCTGTGAAGATCACAGAAACTGCCTTCAGCATTCTTGGCAGCAGCTGTATCCCTGTCCTGCTGTGGCAGAGGTGGGTGTGTAAAAGTTGACCCAGAGTGGATCTTCATGGCAGGTGGCCATTATTAAAAATCATCATTTCCTGGCACGTACCACTCACTAGTATAAGGTTTTTACCTACATTATCCAACTTTATTTTGCTGTTACTACTCATTGTTATTCAGTCCCTCAGTTGTTCTTGGCTGCTCATAAAGTCTAAAAGGACCACGGAGAGGCAGAACTGTCCTGGGGCTCTTCTACATTTCATTTCATTCAGTAATGAAATACCCCACCCCAGAAGTTCTGAAAGAAAGACATAATGGTAAGGAAACTTTTCTTCCCCTCCTGCTGCAGACACAGTGGCCCCATGGACCTGAGTCAATGTTTCTGGAAGTATCAGTTTTGTACCAGTGATTGTGTTCCTTCTGAGACCTCCTCAAACCCACAATTCCATCTGAAATCAGCTCTGCCTTTAGCTTTCTCCTCCTGAATGAACTGGCTCTCTTGGGCTTTTCTGATTTGTTTGGTAGCTTTATGAAATAATGCATTTTAGACTGTATTAAATAATACTTCTATTTTTTAAAAATAGAAGTAATGTCTTTTATACTGAATTAAATATATCTGAGAATTTTTTACCAGTTCCTAGAGCAGGAAGATGCAGCAGTTAATACAGCTCCCATTCCAAATGCTACCACATCTCTTTGTTTTGTCAGAAAGATTTATGAAGGAGAGCAGGGGTCATGCACATTGCAAATGTGCTTCTGCTAAAGCAGCGTATTCCTGGAGGAATAAACACAGACAGTGCTGAATTACTTTGTCATCATTAGAAATTGTCAGAGTCCCATAATGTTCGTGAGAGCAGACAGGTTAGAACTGCACAGACCAGAAAATAAATGCTCACACTGAAAAATACATGGAACTGCTTAGTCCAGTGCACACAGCTTTCCTCAGCTGGGAGGAACCAGAGAGCTGGGCTGCTGAAAAGGAGTGCAGGTTTTAGCTGCTTCAGTGGCTGAGGGGGAGGTTTGCCTGCAAAAAGAGTCTCCTTGGTGTGATAATTTCTCAGTGAATGGCCAAGAAACTTCTTTTCTTTTGTGAAAAACTGCTAAGTATTATAAACAATTTTCCAGAAAATGAGGAAAACAGTCTTGTAAGTATTAATGGATCATTTCAGTGCTCCAAAGGGAAGTTTCTACGCTTCATTTTTTTTTAAATGTGAAAATGGGATGTGGTAATCACTGTCATTTTAAAAGAAGCATGAAGATAAATCATTCATTTGGCAAATATGTATCAAAAAAATGCTAGTATGTTCTTGTTGAATCTTCTTCCCTATCTGTAGAGTCATTTCAAATATTAGCTTGAAAAGTGCTTTGGTTTTACAAGCTTTAAAAATTTTTCTTAGCCACTGTCTCACTCTTGAATGATGGTCTCTTACACTCCACCAAGGCAGACGATCTTGAGGCAGTGGTGCCTGCTGGGGATGAGACTGCTCTGCTCTGCTGGATCATCTGGCTTCTTTTCCACTCTGAAAAATATATGTACCACAGTGTAAATTGCTGCTACATGCTGTAATTAGCAGAAAAGACATACTGTAATTAATACTAACACTGGAAATTTTAACGGCCAACATTAGCTAAAAAACCTGTACTTTTAAAAAATAATCCTTCCTGGATTCTAGACTGAAATAATTCATTCTGAGTGATGTTTTCCTGATATCCAGCAATAATCTAGACAAGAGAGTTGTTCCATTTATAACTGGTGCATCACAGCTTGAAGACTCAGGTGTGCCTGCCCCAAGTCTTCCTTTGCTGCTCACAGTTCCAAACTCTGATTTGTCTCCATTAGGACTGCAGAAATCATTTGTAAACCTTTGCTGTGTCACCCTCTGAAGGATGCTCAGAGTGTTCACATTTCCTGCCAGGACAGAGACCCTTTCTCTTGTCCTTTCCTGTCTAATCTGCATCAGCAGACACAGAGTGGCTTTGACTGTGCAGGGCATGTGAAGTGCAGCTCCTTGGGCCTTTCTGTGTCCCTGTGCAGAAAAAAAACATTTCACTTTGTCTCCAAAACAACTGAATTTAAGTGACACAAGTGCTATATCCACACAGGGAGGGGAAGTAAGTAAAATGCCCTGCTGAGACTGTGTTCAACCTCTCTGATACAAGGAAATCTCCTTTCTCTGGTTTGCCAGAGCCATCACAAATGTTTATGGACTCTAAGGCTTTTACTGACCAGCCAGTAAAATAATTTGTTAGGGTAAGTGATTTCAGTTGGGAGGGACCTACAATGATTGTGTAGTTCAACTGCAATATTTTCTGATGTAATTTCCACTCAGTAAAATTCAGGTATTTAATTTCACTTTGTTATAACAAAAACTTTCCCTTATATTTTTGGAATATATTCACTAGAGTTGGGGAAAGATGCAAAAACACCCCAAAAGAAAAGAAAAAAAAATCTTCACAGTTTTCTAGTAAAAATAAAATATATGAGATAAAACAGAATATGTCGGATCTCAAGATCTCAGTCCTGAGGTGCTGAGCCACCGAGACCACCCTTGGGGGGCTCGAGACTCCTAGAATGTTGCCAGAAGTGTCTGGTGGCTGCACTTTGACCCTACACAGGATGAAGATAGGAGGACTTCACCGAGATGAATGGTGAAGAGATTAGTTAATTAGAGGGTGAGACACAGAGTTTAAGATTTATGTACAGGGGGGTTTAGAGGAGTAAGATAGAGGAATTGGAGTGTGTCCTGTCCTTCTTCTTCTTCTTCTTCTTCTCCTCCATCTTCTTTGGTGATGGTGGCACCTTTAGATTGGTTATTACTGAGAGTGCACCCAGCAATGAGAATAAATAGTATTAAAGAAAAATGATAAATATTGTACACGTAACAATGAGTATAAAGATACGTGGCTGCCCCGGAGGGCAGACAGTGTGCTCATGGCTGACTGCTGAGCAGATCTCTGTTCAGCTGAAAGAAAATCTTTTAGATAAACAATTAATAAACATAAAAATCGAAAGAAGAACTGAAGCCTCTTCTCGTCCTTCGATACGCGGGCTGCCCCAAAGCCACCTCGGGCCTTTCCAGGCCCCTCAAACAGCCGAGATAACCAGACAAGAATATAATGCTGCTGTACAATGTGTTTTATATTTCTGTCTCTTTAGAACTTTTAAAAGATTTTGAGATTTGGGCACCAGCTTGATTTCCATGTATCCATGAGGTGAAATATCAAACTTTTTTCTTTAACTATTCCTGGAAATACACTGTTCATTCCTGTATTAAGTTTCTGAGAAACAATATTATTATCCAAGGAATAATCACTCAGAATACAACAATAATTAATTGTGCCAATAACTCTGGAAGCTTTAATGTGTGTAAATATATATACATGTGTATATATACATATACACACACAAGTGCATTTTATCTAATATATAGTAGAGATTAAGATACAGAATCTTATCTGTAAGCCATTGTTACCAGCTCTGCAGTTTCCTTAGACTCACAGAATGATGTTGCCCTGAAAAAGCCTCCAAGGGAAGATATCCAATTAGCGCTGGTATTTTCACAGTTCCTGGGGAGCTTATGCAAATATGGCATGCAAGGACTCTACTTGGCCAACTATTCAGATCACTCCTGTCTGAGAATTTATTTGATTTCACGATTCTTTAGGTAATTAGAGCACCATCATGAAAATGAATACAGGTAGAGCTGAGCTCATCCTTGCCAGCTGCTAGGATGAGAGTAAGAAATTGGAACTATGTGACCATTGAATAGGGTTACAGCATAATGCAAGAGGGAAAAAATAGAAAAAAAAGAGTGATACTAACATAGAAAACCATGTATTTTGATAGTTTCTTAAAAATGTCTTTGTTCTAGAATCTGCCAGAACTTTCTTGAGGTTTGTTCCTGCCACTGCACTGGTCCAAAATAACAAAGAATGCAGCACTTAAAATATTTGGCTCATAGGAAATAGCTTGCTGGAGCAGGAGGCAGCTTTCTCATGTGCATTTTTCATGTCCTGCTACAAAAAGATCAAAATATTGTGAAGGATATGTATTCAGTTGAGAAATGTTAAAAATGCCACTTCTGATGTAAGACATACTTTTGATACTATATCTACTGCACATCTAAAACTGTCAGGCTACAATGAAATTTGTCACCTCTATTTTACACTTGTATTAAGTGAGAATGTGACAATTGACCTCTAGTAACACCAAGTTTGACAATTCTTGTACATGTAAGTCTTACCAGAATGACTTTATAAAGAAAAGCTGTCAAACATATCCTGTTGTAATCTTTTGGGAGAGAGAATGCTATACTGTATTTTTAAGGCAGTATTTTTACTTTCTTACAACTCTCCTCAGTTCATATTAAATAATTTGCAATTAATTGTTGTGTTAGGCAGAAAAGCTTGTCAGTGCTGAAACAAAGAATTGCTCTGTCAAGTTAGAAGTGCAGGAAAATCTAATTTGTAATTGAAGCTGTGTATCCTTTAAAAATGAAATAGTGGATCTGAAAGTAAGCCAAATGAAATGTTTAAAAGTACAAGAGAGAAGTGATATCCCACTAGCTTCTCACTTCAAAAGCCATGACAGTGTGGCCCAGGTTTGTGCATGGAATTCTACAGTTCAACTTTTCCCTTTTGCACACTGGTATTTTTCCAGTCCACCTGAGCCAAAGGTTGGTGTCTGCTTGACTCCATCTCGACAGCCTGAGCTGAATTCTCTGCTTAAAACTGGGCATATGCCAGAGGACAAAGCTTAGCTGGGCTTTACATACATGCTTTACACCAAAACACCTTGCAAATACTGAAAATAGTGATTTGGGGTTTTCTGCTCCATTCCCAATGGTTTTGGGAAAGCACAGAAAAGTTTCTAGATGGAATGCAAACAGACTGAAATCCTGTTGCACTCACTGAAAACAGGGAATTCTCACTGAGAGCTGCAAGGAAAAAGAAATACCTTTGGTATGCTGATATAAACTTTGGGTGAAATCTAAGAAAATATGCAATTTAGCACAAGGCATTTTCCCTAGACTTTCCTATTAGAAAAAAAAAGATATTAATTAGATAGAAAAGGAAATTAATTAAGAAGAAAGGGAAAGGAACCCCACAGTGTGCAGGGCACTGCTGAGTGCCAGCTGCCATTAGTGTAGAGCAATAAGCAGCACACCTGGACCATGCACTTCATGGAAGAAGGGGAGAGCAGTGGGAGGCAAGTCACAAGCCACTGCACTTCCAGGTCACTCACTTGGTTAATTTTACAGTTTTTATCTGATGTAGGAGCTCTGTATTTTAAGAACTGATGACATTATATAACTAACCTGATTAATGGGTGTAACTCTATCTCAAGCCTTTAGAAGCCTCCATCTCAGCACATAATCTTTTTCCTTCTGCAGTCTGTCACCTGTCAGCAGTGCCTAAGGACAGACTAAACCAGGCTTCACTCACCTGCTGGCCAGTGCTTTGAGAACCTTTGTCAGAAAGCTCCTTCTGGCAGTTATTTATAGGTCAACATTTGGGTGAGCTAATTGCAGGCAGGACCCCTGGAAAGGTAACTAAACAGTTATTGCTCGTGCTGTGAGGAGAAATGATTTTGTGAATTACCAAATCTCATTAATGTGCTACTCTTGGACATTTTGAACCAGCACTGCTGCACTTGGCTTGGGGAAGGGCTGCTCTGTCAGAACTCTTGGTGAATGTCTGTATCTCTCATTAAATTGGGGGTGATATTACTATCGTCCTGCTGTGTTTTCAAAACTTTATTTCAAAATAGAAGTGACTTAATCTCTCTTCCTTTTCAGGGAGTTTTCCTATGAGCATTGACACCTCACACAGGCTCACCTATTTGATACCAGTCAGACTCTGATTCCTGAATGGCACTTTTACCTGACATTGCTGTGCTCTCTTAATGTGAGCTCATTAGCAATACCTTCTCTATTCCCCAAATTCCCCTTGGTACTGATGCTAACTTCTTGAGAGGGGACTCTGATCCATCCAGGTCCTTCAAATGATGTGGCAATTAAACCTCCCCCATTATGCTGAAAGCCCTTGTTACCCAGATCTGGCCATTCCCTTCCCTCTGCAGTGTTCCACAAACACAGTGTTGGTCTGAGCCCCAACACCTGCTGCACTGCTGAACACTAAACCAGGGCATTTCAGTCAGGGACTGATAGACTGCTCTGTCTGAAGTAGTGCAAAGGCAGAGGTATTCAAGATTGTCTTTCTAAGCTGCTTTGATGCTGACACTAAGAATTTACTTTCTTGTTGTTAATACATCCTAGCATTTGAACTAGCATTTTATCTTTACTTCTTGCTTTATGGTAATCAGAAGCTATTTGCAGTTTGATAACATGAAGGGTGTCAGCTGGGCAGAAATGAAATTTTGCTTTGATTTGAACAGTTCTTCCTCTTAATTGTAACATGGTGTTTTGGAAAAGTCTGTTAGGTTTTATTTAAGTTGTGTGTAACACTTGCTGTGCTTGACTGTCTGTTCACATCCACATGTGTAAATTCAGAGTAACTG